TATATACGCACGCACCCACCACACACACACGCACACGCATTAGTGTAGCATTAATAGCTTACACAACGTCAAGCAGAGCGATCAGCTCTTTAATTTGTCAACGCGATATTTTCAACTGAGGCCTGTACAGTGCCTTTGAACACGTCTATTCGTGATATTTCCCGGCGTCACTCGCACCCACATCAAATGTCAGCGTAGCAATTACTCACAATGCTCGCTGCATTAAAGGTTTCACGGCACGGTCCGGCACGGCGTGTTTCTGATCGCTTTCATTCAGAAGTCCCAGCATCCCATCATCCCCTCTCTCTCACTCTCTCTCTCTCTTTCTTTCTTTCTGTGTGTGTGTCTCTCACTCTCTGTCTCTCTCTCGCTCGCTCGCCCGCTCTCTTAATTGCTCGCTCGCTGGCTCACTCTCTCTCTCTCTCTCTCTCAACTCTCTCTCTCTCTCTCCTCGTCTCTCTCTCTCCTCATCGCTCGCTCTCTGTCTCTCCTCTCTCGGCGGTCTCATGCTCTATCTTTCTCTCGTGTGGCTCTCTCTCTCGCGCCGCGCTCCTCGTCGCATCTCTCTCTTCTCTCTCTCTGGCAACTCGCTCGTCTATCCGTTCTGTCCTTCTCTCTACACATACACACACGCCACGCGACGCACGCACACACGCACACACACCACACCCTGCTTGCTCTTCTCTCATCTCTAGCACACACAACACACACACACACTCTTCTCTCTCTCTCCTCTCGTCTCCGCTCTCTCGTATTCGCGCCTGTCTCTCTCGACGGCGACAACAGTATCACCAGTCTATAAATAACCTATTATTTACACTTTTTCGTGTCGACTTTGGTGTCGGCCAGTATCACTCCCGTGTGTACCCCTGGGCCGTAAAACACAGACTGCAAATATATGCATTGGCTTCACTTCACCGGCTATGATTGCAGCTTATTCAGCGTGCAGTACGTACCTTGCCTCGCGGCTCGACACAACACCACAAAGAACAGCCAGCACAGCTCGTATATAACGCTATCTGCATTAAGTTTGCGTGGCTTCGTGGTGGGTGGTGGGGGGGTAGAGGGAGGAGGGAGTGTCTCTCGTAGTGTGAGAGCTCTTAAGCTCTCTCGAAAATAAGTCGGCGACTCGGTCAGCGAAATCCCCGCATCGTGACGTCACACGCGTGTAGATAACAACGCCGTAAACGCGGTCGAACAATAGCTAGCATACGTCATCGCGTCACAGCCAATCAGATTGCGGTAATTGCGTTAACGCGCCACACGACTTTTTTTCCGTATACGCGTGTATTGAATGATTTGATCTAACGTACGTCACTAAATAATGCGGCAGTAAGGGGTGGGGGGAGGCCCTGACGGGTATGTTTGTGCATAATAGGGAACCTACCTACCCACGTGAGCTTTTATATATGTCAACAGGAGCGGATCGAGCGATACGGCAGCAGAAGATAATGATCGGTGCACGCGTCACCGACGACACCAACGCCGCCGTTACTGACGTCAGCGGCGCTATCATCATCACCATCGCCGTTATTGTTATCGTCATCGTCATCGTCATCGTCATCGTCATGCCTGTCGTTATCATAACCATCGTCATTATTGTCATCGTCATCGTCGTCGTCGTCGTCGTCGTCGTCGTCGCCACTATCATCCTTATTATCGTCAATATTGACACAGCAATCGTTATCGTCATCATCGCTATCGTCATCGTCATCGCCGCTATCGTCATCGTCTGCCCATTAGATGATGATGATGATGATGATGTCTTTGCGATTATACTTGGCACTGGTGTTAGTATGTTAATATTTTGTTACTTTTAATATTACCAAGATCGTATTAAGTATGATTACGTAAGTATAAAGTATGCTAAGTAGGCTAAGTATGCTTAAGTATGCACACTTAATACGCTCTCTAATATTACACACGCCTGCTTAGTATTCTTGCCACGCAATCCGCAATCCCCAGAACCCAGATTTCTACGAGCCAGCGCAAGACAACCCCATCCTCCTCCTCTTCTTCCTTCTCCACCTCCTCCTATCTCCTCCTCCTCCTCTTCCTCATATACCTCCTCCTTCTCCTCCTCCTCTTCCTCCTCTTTCTTCTCCTCCTTCTTCTCTTTCTCCTCTTCCTCCTCCTCCTCCTCCTCCTTCTCCTCCTCCTCCTCGTCCTTCTCCTCCTCCTACCTCCTCCATTACGGTGAGCTTAGATTCCTCTCCAACGAGAGATGACGCGGGTTATCACTGCTTGCGTGCGTGCGTGCGTGCGTGCGTGCGTGCGTGCGTGCGTGCGCTCCCGCAATTACATGCAGCACGTGTTATAATTCATGGGCGCTTCATGCATTATGTATTTCCCATCGCACACCGCTTCCGCTCCTTGTCGACATCTATTATCTAGAAGGTAACCTTGCAATAACGCCGCGTCACTCTTTCTCATGATACACACACCGCGCGCGCGCACACACGTCGGCGCCACATCCTGTGTTTGTGTACGCGTACGCGCTCGCGTTCTTTTTTTGTCGGCACGTGTGTTTTTTTCTAGTCAACGTGACAGGTATGACGTCTGTAAACGCCACCTGATTGGCTGAGATGTGTCACGTGACTGCCCGGTGAATTACGTACCCGCCTCCCCATCAAGTTACGCGAATAACAAGTGTTATTGCATTGTTATTGCGTTGTTATTGCATTGTTATAGCGTTGTTATTGTTTTCAGTTTTTACTGATGCAGATGATTCGCAGATGGTTATTCTGATAAATCATGTTCGTGTACGTGTTAAGGTTTTTATATAACCAATACGTCGTCATTATTCGACCAAAAGGGGGGTAAATAAGTCAAATTAAGTTGGGTAGTCGGAAAATCTTCACGGAGCGATCCGCTCTGCCTGTTACCGGACGTGCATGCAGTCATGAGAGTCCGCACTGGACACTCCAGCGGTTTATTCCCGGTTGGCCTATTCCTCTTTCACCTACGACAAAATTCCCATTTCGCCTACAGCAAAATTCCTAGTTGGCCTACACCCATTTCGCCTACTCCCAATTCGTCTACGCTCAAAATCTACCCCATTCCCATTTCGTCTACGATCGGTTTGTTTACTAATTAACCATTCATAAATAATAAAATATGGTTTTAATTGGCATAATTAGACTACAGGAACCAGAAGAAAACAGGTACAAAAAAAGAGAACACAACTTGACAAAAATAGAAAATACAGTAGCATAAATAGGAGTAGGCGAAATGGGAATATTGCCGATTCTGAGAGTAGACGAAATGGGAGTAAGACAACTCCAGTTGAACTGGGATGTTACTACTCCGGCCTCTGGCCTTTCCCGATACGAACTCCCCCTACTGTGTAACTGCCTTGCCCGATACGGATTCTGTATATTGTGTAACTAACCGTACTACCCTACCCAAGCAGATCTAGAGAGGACGACTGTATATAACTAATAGTACATATAGACATCGCACGCTGTTCGCAGTAATCAGAATGGGGGTTATAGTAATTTATAATATTATTAACTATAAAAATAATAATATTATTATATTAATTTTTTTTAAATATATTATATAAAAATATTATAATTAAAATTATAAATTTTAGAGTTACATATAGTCGTCGCGGTGCATTTTTTATTTTTTTATTTTAATATTATATTTGCGGTTAATTATATCGCGGTAATTATGGAGTTGGTGAGGACGCGTAGGGGGGGGGGAGCATCTCGCGCTCTCGTATGCGCCACCGTGCTCGATGGACCGTTGCTCATTTGTTTACCAGCGTTAAGCAACGTTTCCTATGTCGGCTCGACTAATGGGTTGCGTCGGCTGTGTGCGGGTAACGCGATAGCCCGAGACGGCCCAAGGGTTGCGAAAATGATGATTAGGGTAATTAGGCGGTGGTCGAACGTACGTTCGCAGCAGATGCTCCTGTTTCAGTGTTAAAGTACCCACTCCACATACACGCGAGCCTGGCAGATATATAGAGTACAGGGAGAGAGATGGGGGAGAGAGAGAACGAAAGTGCAACAAAGATAAAAAAGAGCGAGATGGAGAGCGGGGCGTGTGCGAAAGAAAGGGAGAGAGCGCGAGAGAGAGCGAGAGAGGGAGAGAGCGCGCGCGAGAGAGAACGAGAGAGAGAGAGAGAGAGAGAGAGAAAACGAGACTGAAAGAGAGATTGGATTGAGAGAAAACGAGATAGAGAGTGGGCCGTGATCAAGAGAGAGAGAGAAAGAGAAAGAGAGAGAGAGAGAGAGGCGGAGCGGTATCGCAGCACGCACGCGCACTCAGCGACGACGGACGCACGCGCACGAGCCGCACGGACAAGAGCAACAAGAAAGGAGGTGGGGGACGCGGCGAGCGCCGAGATGGCCGCTGAGAAT